GTCACCCTGACATGAGTGTGCCATCTACTCTATGAGATAGGTATCTTTAGTAGGTGAGGAAACTATGGATGAAAATTGATTTAGAACTTGCTCCAGGTCATGTATCTAATAAACACAATGGTCAAAGCATAAGCCCACTTTCTAACTCTGAACTATGGCCCAATATTTCAAAGATGATCAATTCTAACTTCATGATATTTATTGTGTTAGTCTATCTCTCGTCCTTATCATTGTAAAACCCATACTCTCTCCTAGACTATTGCAATTCTATCATATTAAGGAAGATTTACTTAGTTTTATACAACAGAAAACAATCCAAGTTTCACATAAGGCCAAAAGAAAAAGGAATCTAAGTTTTTTCTGGTCAGCCTCAAATAGCCCCATGATCCCTATTTCCTGAAATTTATGTTCTGTGCAATCTCTTCTCCTTGAGTGTCACTTATATGTATTGACTTCTAATGAAGAAAATGTCAGAAGTGATGGGATGTCACTTCCAAGATTAGGTTACAAAAAACATGGCTTAAGTTTTGGCTGCTGCGGCATTTCCTGCTGTCTCTCTGTCTGTCCCCCCCCCCATTCCACCCCCCCCCAACTTTTGCATCATTTTCTCTAAGGAAAGTCAGTTGCTTTATCATGAGGAGGTCTCATATACAGATCCAGGCCGTAAGAAATTGAGGCCTTCAATGGCCACACAAGTGAATTTAGTAGTGGCTCCTTCCCCAATTGGCTTTTCAGATGTCAACACTCCAGGCCAATACCTTGACGACAGCCTGTGAGAAACCTTGAGCCAGAACCTCCCAGATAAGTAGTTGCCAGACTCTCGACTCACAGAAATTACAAATTAATAAATATTTGTTGTTTTCAAGTTTTACCGTAATCTATTAGGCAACCATCGGTTAACATACAGATTTTGATTCTCCAAGCTCTCTGCACGGATTCTGGGTTTCAAGAAAGCTGGAGTGTGGAAATGAAGGAGCAATCATTTTACAGCACACACATGTTGTTGCTGATCTGCTAGCTTCATCACTGGCATGAGCAACAGCCAGGCTGGCAACTGTTCTTCCTCTGGGTCTCCCCCTCAACATATCTGACTTCTGTGCCAGTTGGGTATATTTAACTCACATACTTAGAGATCATTGAACCAGATACTAAAATTGTGGAAGGTCAAATACACTCAATTTCAATCATTCAAGAAAGGGTTTAACAAAAATTCCAGGAAAGTCAAGGGCCAGGGTAGTCAGCAGTGTGAGTTGTTGAACTTCTCTCTCCAGTTCTACCATAAACAAGTGCAAGTCGACCAGCTTCCTGTCTCAGGTCTCCTAGTCCAAAATTCCACTGCTGCTCTTGAGCAATCAGCTGGAGGCTGATTATATGGTGAACTATATAAAGGGATATCATTTCCAAAGAGAAGAAAAGGTCAATAGCCCAATGGGCCTCAATGACTTCCCCTAAAGGTCTCCCATCTTCTACGCTTTTGCTTCTGATTTATTCTCCCCAAAGGAATCATAATTTCCTACCAAGTACTCGGGGCTCATCTCAACATGGTCAAAAGTACCATTTGAAATTTAGAGGATGCACCAATGTAGTCCACAATCCATACATAACGGCACAAGTCACTTTGAAACTCCATAAAATTACGTTTGGGCATGATTTACGACAGTTATCAATCTGGCCTTTTATTATGATGACTTAATAGACTTAAAGTTGAACTAAGCTTTAAAATGTGTTACAACAAGAGTTGTCTTGTTTTAATCTATAGTGTTCACTGTCACTATATTTTTTCAGGGTACCTAAAGAGAAAAGTAGAGAGAGTATAACTTTTCCCTTTAAGTAGAATCTCATTCTTTGGCTACCAATGTTTATTTCACTCAGTGAATGACTGCCTGATCCAAAGGTACAACATTCTAATAATGTTTTTGCCAAATAAGGGCAAGATTTGTTTTAATAATTAGGAAGTCTTAAACATATCTCTGCAGTCAGTGAATTTCTTTTGTTTAGCGTAATTCATTAGACAGACAAATGGGAACACTACATTTGTCTAAATGTGTTCAACAGCCTCATGAAATTGCGCTGAAAGAATGTGCACTGTTTTTGTCCTTTGCTTCACATTTGATAAAGATCTCATAAGCATTTTAAATTAGAAAAATAAAGAGATCTGACAATTGGAGTGATGTATCTCAATTTTGTTGTGTGCATGAGAATCATCCAATAAACTTGTTTATAAAAGTCCTGAATTCTGGTTTCATAAATTCAGATTCAGTTGATGCAGGATAGATTTGGGAGTTTGAATATTTAATAAGCACTTCTAGTAATTCTGATAGAAAACTCTTCCTGTCCACACCTTACAAAATTCTTAAAACATGGAAGCCAACTCAAAATTTAAACCAGTCAGTTCTTGACTAAATAAACACACATGAACCTAACCACATCACCAGGTCCTCTAGCAGTCCCCAAAGAACTTCTGACCTGGGGGCTTGCAGTGATTAAAAAGATGAGTGAAATGAAAGTTCAAACAAGCAAAGAAACATCCAGGAGGAGAAAAGGTCAGTGGAAATCCAACAACTCCTCAGCCTGGTTCTCTGAGGATCTTCACTGTAAGAGACAGTCAAGGAAAAGTATTCTAAATGCTAGTTAAATGAGGAGGGGGAAAAAACATTTTGTTTGAAGACGTAGTTACCGCTTAAAATGTTTGGAAAATCAGCCTGTAATCGCATCCTTTTATTGGTACCAACTCCACAGATTTGGTGGCTTTTAGAAGGAAGTTATCAAACAACTTCCCTTAAGACCTGTAGCCCTGTTGCCTTTGCTATGTGTCAGGCACAACTTAACCTTCATTATGATCTCAGCAAAGGTATTTATATGAGATACTGTGATCATTATGCATTGCTTCCTTTCTTTGTTCTTCTACAGTCACAAATACCAGGTGCCTATTTTTTTTTTTTTAATTAAAAGCCTGCAGTTAGTGCAACTGACCTATCTGTTTTTCTCAGGCACACCCTGAGGGTGAGGGGCTTTTGACGGCTGTAGGTCTGGAGGATGGAGTGGCAGGAAATGCTAAAACGAGGCTGATTACACTGAATGATGGATGTGGGTTTAACAGATCAGAGTTTCTGGCCAATGGCAAAAAGCAAACAGGGATCTATGTACAGGGGTAAAGACAAGATAGGCATGTGGGCAGGGGCAAGATCAGGGTCAAGGACTCCATACTGAGTAAACAGGGCATTGCAGTATAAATTTTCCTTCCACCAGTAAGAAGAAAAAAAAAATGAGTAATTACACAGTCAGAAAGTCAAGATCCAAGGGAGTTGAAAAGATAGCAAATCAAAAATAAAACCCTCGGGCTGGGGCTATGGCTCAGTGGTAGAGCAGTCACCTGGCACACTTGGGGCACTGGGTTCAATCCTTAGTACCCCATAAAAAATAAAATATAATAAAGGTATTGTGTCTACCCACAAATATAAATAAATAATAAATAAATTAATGAATAAAAGTTTTGCCTGCTGGCAAGCTAATCAGAATAAGAGAATCATGTGGTCTTTGTTCTAATTTTGACAATATGTCCCAACTATTCAGAGAATTGAGTAAAAAGGCACATTCTCTTAACTCTTTCAGCAACTGCTAGATGAAACTCTCTAGGGAAGTGGCTAAATTCCCCAAGTTGGTTCTATGTTCATTCACTATATCTGGAGCCCCATGGGATAACTGGCTGTTCTAATATGTTTCATTCAATTCTACTCTTTCATGCCTCTTTCTCATTTAATGTACTTAGATGTTAGTTGTCTTCATCTCAGGACTTGTCTATTTTTCTTTTTTGTAAAGTCATTATTTGCTCTAGCAGAGTGGAGGTTCTCAAGGGACTAAAGATTGTTCACTAAATGTCTTTATAGACCCAAAATTATAGAACAAAAATTATAGATCAATGAGGGCACAATGCCTATGGAGAAAACACTTCCATGAGACAATTCCAAAGAATACATCTTTCTTATCAGAGTAACAAGGTATTATCACTATTGGTATCTTGAATTATTGTCTCAGCTTTTCCCCATGGTCCATTAGTATAACTGTAAAAGTGACACAAGAGAAAGTAAATGTAAAAGAATCCACCACTAGAATAGGGAGGAATTGAATCCAGTTCTCCTAACCCTCTGTAGACTATTACTGTTATGTATTCAAGTCACGTGTGGAATATTAAATAAAAACACTCAATGGAATACTCCAGTGTTTCAGTCAGGTTTTGCATTGCAGAGACCAAAATACCTGACAAGAACAACTTAGAGGATGGAAAGTTTATTTGGGGCTCACAGTTTCAGAGATCTCAGTCTATACGTGGCTGACTCTCTTGCTCTGGACCCAAGGTGAGGCAGCACATCAAGGAGGCTCAAAGAGGAAGGCTACTCAGTTCAAGGCAGGATGAGGAAGCAGAAAGAGAAGGAGCACCCGCAGGGTCTATACAACCTTCTAGGGAATGCCAGTGACCTACCTCCTCCAGTCATGCTCCCATCTGTCTACAGTTACCACCCAGTCAGTCCATTCAAACTAGGATGGACAGATTAGGTTGCAACTCTCATAATACAATCATTTCACCTCTAAATATTCCTGCATTAACAGGAACTTTTGGGGGACACTTCATATCCAAACCATAACACCCAATATTGCTTTCTGTAATTTGAATAGAAAATGAGACCTGCAGCAATACAGATAACAAAATAATATTTACTGTCTTTACAGAGCTCATCTACTAGAAGAAAACAACAAATAAATACACTCATGTGCAAAATATGATGTGAAAGAGAGAGAGAATTAGTAGTTATAGTTTTCCCACAAGTTGTTTTGTAAAGTGTTGATAAAATTCCCAAATCACATGTACCGTCCCAACTTATGCACACATTGCCTCTAGCAAGAATAGCAGCCAAGTCACATGCTATCACAAAAGCCAAGGACAATTACTGGAAAACACCATTAACCCCTACTTCCCTCTCTTTTGCTCCCATCCCCCACAGGTGTGCCTTTTGAGTCTTATCCTGGAACAAACAAAACTGTACTTGCACATTCTGCCAATGAAGAAAATTTATACTTAGCTCAAAATCGTGGAGGACTATGAGTACTTTCAAGTTAAAGTAACCTTGCAAGTTTTATAATTCTGTCATTCTTTAAGGAGTTCCTATTAAGTCTTAAATGCTTCGGAGATTAAAAGGGTATATTAATGTTATTAGAGACTTGAGATAAAATGCCATGCCTTGCAGGGTATCTTTGCACTTAATGAAAACATTTTCATCACATTCTGAGTCTATTATGCCAGATCTTCATTTCATAAGTTGTAAGATAATCTTATTTTAATTAGAGAAGATATACCAAGTATATTAGAGTAATACAGTTAAATATATTCATCAACTTTCTTCTTGTCAGTTAAAATGCCTCCTCAGAGTTTGTTATTCCAATGTGCTATCACAGGTGTAAGTAAAATTATGTATATGAATTCTGAATGACTTCTAGAGCCTTAAGTGACTAGATGATTGCTTTCCAAGAAGGACCCTATAGGATCCTGTGTAAGGATAGTATTGGACAATATGGTAGCCACAGTAGCCATATGTGACTGCTGAGTACTTGAGATATGACTAGCTTGAATTGAAATGACTAAAAGAATGGAGGGAGAGAGGAAGAGAGAGAAAGTGGTTGGAGGGTATGAACTGAAATCAAATCCCATGAATGTATGAATTTGTCAAGATGAACTCAACTACTATGTGTAACTACAATGCTCTAATAAAAAATGAAATTGCTGTTATTGTAAAGTACACACTGAATTTCAAAGATTTTGTATAAACTATCTCACCAATGTGCATAAATTAATTGCATATTGAAATAATTATGTATTGGCTATTTGAGTGAAATAAAATATATGATTAAAATTAATTTCCCCTATTACTTTCTACTTTTCAAAATATGTTAATAGAGAATTTTAAGTTTGGCATATAATGTACATGACATTTCTTTTGGACCCTACTGTTCTATATCATTTAACCATTATGTAATGTCTGAATTTTATTATCTGTGAAATATTTTCCATGCTGCAAATAAAAACATAAATAATAAAATAATAAATCACAAATCGACTCCTACATTCTGAAGGAATTCACAATTATCTTTCCCCACTGTTCCCTCCATTAAATGAAAGAATGAAAAAGCTGATCTCAATAGTAGCCCAGAGTCAGGTCGGTGGCTGGACAGAGTCAGGAATCTGGACAGTAGCTTCTACCATGAGAAACGGATCCTGTGGTTCTTAGGAGTGAATGGCGAGATGAAGCCAGAAGGATCTTGCGAGAGACCAATCTTTAAGAGGAATCACATTCATGATGCAGACATTCAGGAGGGACAAGGAAAGACTCACATTCCACGTTCTTATTGGTGCATTATAGTTGTGTGTATTTATAGGACTTGTTGTTACATACTCCTAAATACCCATAATAATGGAAGCAAAAGGATACACACATGGCTGGGGAAAAGTTTTTAAATAAACAAGTGCTCCTGGAGACCACACTAAAACACCTTGCCATGAGGCCAGGAAAAATGGGAACACCAATAAAACAGCCCACAAACAAGAGACACAAATGCCGAATTGATGATGAAAAAAGATCCAACAAATACTCTTAAATGTTAACTTGCTAATTTCAAAGAAAAGGAATATAGAACACGTCAGAGGAAAATTACAAAAAAAAAAAAAAGTGGTCCGTGAAGAAATCCATAGAGCGCCACACAGGAGAATCCAAAATAAAAATCACAAATCCCTTTAAGGACAACAAAGTCAGAAAGCCAGCTAGAAAATGCAAAGGTCACACTGGGATGAAGAGGTGATGACAGCGAGAATCAATGAATTATTTGCTGCAGTCTTTACTGAGAAAGACCTTAGAAAGAGTCTCACTTCCCTCTTGCTTTAAAGCAGAAAGGTCAAAGATATTAAAACAAACTGGAAAATACAGGATTCTCCCAGGCCTAACTGACAAACTAAATGTAAATAAAAATCGCCAGGACCAGATGGCATCCACCCAAGACTTCTAAAGGAACTCAAGAGTGAAATATGGAACTGCTGGCCTAAATGTATAACCTGTTATTACTAACCAGCACTTTGTAAGAAGAATGTCAAACTGCCAGTGTGACTCGCACGCATACATGGACTCCATAGGAGATTCTGAAAACAAAGATTTCATTTTGTTGTTGATTTTTTAAATTTTTTAATTTAAATTGAATTTTTAAAACTGATATATAAAACAAAAATATACAGTATTTTTATCGGTTTAAAAACAAATATACATATGGTACCATGTGATATTTTGGTACAAGTATGCATTCTGCAATGTTTTAATTCAGGTTTGACATATCTATTTCCTCAAACATTTATCATTTCTTTAGAGTGGAAACATTCAAAATCCTTTCTTCTAGCTTTTTGAAATATGCAACTCATTATCATTAACTGTAGCTACCCTACAGCAATACTAGAATGTCTTACTCATACCTAACCATATAGGTATGAGTCTATCCACACTTTATACACAGTAGCTCCAGCAACTTGTGAGTACTGGCCAAATTTCAGTAGAAATACAAAAATTCATGGACATAGGAGTGTTCTCCATCTGCAGGACAGCTACCAGTCCATCCACAAGTTCCTGCAGAACAAGCTGTGAAGGTTTTCACTAGATAGGACACATCCATTGATGAATCTTGGTCATCTTCTTCCTATATTAGGGGATCAAAGAGGGAAATTTCAACATGGGAAGAGTAGCCACCAGCAAAATGGTACTGACATACAGTACAGTGAACAGAACAAAACCTTTTCCCTCTATATTCTCCATATAATTAATTTAGCATTAATTATAATGTTCCCATCTTTCAGTTATATAATTTAGTAACAAAAACGATAATGTTGCCCATTCCTCTAAACGGAGCCTCCGCTGCCATGGCTAATATCCAAAGCCTTTGCACTTTACTGATCCCATCGGCCCCGGATAGGCCTTTTTTGATCCTCAGCAAGCAGCAGAAGGAGGAGCTGGAGGCGCACTTCCTGAGGGACTCCTTTCTATCCCTGGGTGCCCTGGAACCCCTGGTCTCCCGCCTTGGCCTAGAGGAGCAACACCTGAAGGATTGGTTTAGGGTGCAGCAGTGCTCATACCGGTACTAGGAACCAGGCTGTTACCACTTTGAATTCCACTCTTAAGGGGCCCTTGCACTCATGCTGGGCACACTCGACCTGGGCAAGCCAGACCTGGGCAAGCACCCCACCCTCCCCGGTCTGGCTCGTCTTGTACATGCCCATCCACCAAAGACGCCCACTCCCCCAGCCCAAGAAGCACCAGAAGCTTCTTCATTCAGCGTCAGGCCTGTGGGAACCTCCCGGAGAGTGCCCAGGAGAGTGTCCCAGCAGCAGCCTTTCTCAAGGGGCCCAGTGGCTGGGGCGTGGGGTATACGGCAAAGAACTAGAAGCCGCCTTGAAGAGACTTGCACATGACCTTCAAGACGTCCTTGAACAGGAAGACAAATGGGGTCCAAGAGATTTCTGAATGGATGGGGGTTCTGCACCTGCCCCATTCCACAGGTCCCACAGGTCCTCACTCTCGCCACTATTCCATCTAATTGTCCCCACCTGTCATTTGAGTCACTTGGGAGTGTGTCTGGGTCTCTAGGAATGGAATGGGGTTTCTGGGTGCACTTCCTTCCCTTCATGCTTCCCCCCACCCTGCAGGTGGACACTCAGTAATTTGAGGCTGTGACCACCTGCTGGCTTGTGTCTTAACCAAGGTTGTCCCTCATGAATAAAGTCCCTCGCCCCCCCCAAAAAAACATAATGTTAATAATTATGAAGAGACAGTGGACTACAATTCATGTACAAAAAAGTACCCACTAAAAGTTGCAAATATTTCTATTTTGAGTTGTCATTATATTATTATATTATTTTCATACAAAAAGTTAATACACCAATGATTAGAAAATTAACATTAATAAATTATTTTCTTTTAAAACTTTATTATTTTTATAAACAGGTAACTAAATTATTTCCTTATTCTTAAATGTAGATCATATTCCCATATGAGATTTTTATATCAATGTGTTACTCATGGCATTGTCTTATAAATCCCAAAAGACTAAGTGTGAGATAGATAACCTATTTCATCAAATAACAAAGAGGAGTTGTTTTACACTTAGGGAAAATAATGCAAAATAAACATTAGACCACAAAAAAGAATGTTGTTCATCAAATACTTGCTTCTTTTACCTTATTTTAAAGTCATCATAGTGCCTTCCCATTCTGTTATAATCTGAATTTTAAAATTAACTAATCTCTACATTCTAAGAGTAAATATTTGCTGACAAGATAGCATAATTTCTTAATGTCTTTCAGTTTGATTTGTTCATTCATAGACTCCTTTTATATTAGACACCGGAATCTTTGTGAACTTACAAATGACAAAACCAAACATGAGATTGAACTGAAAATTCCCATTTCCCACAGCAGATGGTGGCCATGGTTTTATTTCTTGCTCCATAACAGGTGAAGGCAGTCTGGTACCCTGGGCAGCTGCACAAGGCCAGCTGGCCAGAGTGGACCTGACACTGCTTTATACAGATCTTAGTACAGATCAGTCTCTGTACTACCTTGTAGCTCTTGGGCAAATAGCAAAAAACACAAAAACCTCATCATTATGACCAACATTAATGGCCATAATGACCCTGTATAGTAGTTTTGTTTGTCTGCACAGTGTTCTAAAAAGAAAATTATTCAGTTAAAACAGCTAATTAACTAAAATGTTAATAGTGGTGACTTCTGGTTAGTGATTTTATTGATGACTTTATTCTAATGTCTTTAAAACAGATTAGTTGATTTGCATCTGGAAAAACATTAAGAGCATTGTCAAATACATATCACTAATCCCATTAATGTAACCTTTAAAGAAATATTTAAAGTTAATAATATCTGATTGGCAAGGAAGTTTTCAAGTCTATAATGACTTCCCATTTTCTCTAAAATAGAAAACACACTTAACTTCCATCCATGTGGAAGTTGTGAGAAATAAACTGAACAGGTTTATGGGGCTCCATTTTAATTTTTGATGAAAATTTTTGATGGTAGCACTACATACCATCCCTTATATCTGAGAGAAACAGAGATGGACTATCAGAGCATTCAGAGCATACCACTGTATCACTATCCTGGCGACTCTGGTATAGTCTGAATCACAAGAGGAGCTTGATGCTTGACATTTTGGAGTAAAATGCCACAGAATCTCAAAAAAGGACTTTTAAAATTCTCAGGATCCACATACAAATTTGTGGGTGGGTGGGTGGGTGGGAGTGTGTGTCTGCACGCACGAGTGCGCGCTCATGCATGCATGTATGCACATATGTATATCTCTAAGGGAACTAACAGGAGTTTAACTTTACCCCCATTCACTTAAGGAATCACAATCTGTTGTTCCCCAAATAGCAAGGTACAGACTCAGCAAAAGGACCCAAGAATTATATCACACATTGTTTATGGCTGAGTGAGCTTATAGAGTGCTGGTATATGCTGAGCACACAGCTATTTGTCATGAAGCCATCAATCAAATTCAGTTGATAATAGAAATCCCTAAATAAATGAATTACAGAAATCAATGAGTCTGCTATTCTTTCAGAGTTTAAAATCACTGAAAAATTTACCATGGATTTAGGAGGCAATTAAATAGTGGGGCATCAATATTCCCTTATTCATCTCTCAGCTCATTCAGGCCTAACTGCTCTGTTTATCAGGGACCCAAAGAGACTGCAAAAGACAGACTCTACTGGGCCATCCCAAGGATAAAGGGATTGAAGGGGAATGAAGGCAATAGGCAAGTTGTTAACTTATTCTGTGTGCTCCTAGGTACAAAATAAACTGGAGTTTCTTGGGACCTATCCAATCACATCTACGAATCTAGACCCAGACCTCACTTTCCTATTATCACAATTAGTAAGGCCAGATGGAAAGAGAAACTGAAACCCCATGGGCAATCAAAAACTCTCACACGGGCTGTGATGCTCCACTTCACTTTTTCCCTCGTGTTACTTAGAGTAACAATGACTTTTCTGAGTTTCATCTTT